ATCTTGCTCTCTTTCTCATTACACTGGATGATGTACACAAAAAGTCCATGATTATCAAACTTCTCACCAGTTGCAGATAGTTCTGAGTGTTATTCTGTGTATCTGCTCAAGATCAGCTGCTAGTAAAAACAATTCTTGAAAATGAATACAGATATTTAAATGCTCTTAAGCTTGATATTTGAGTAGACTTTGATCACATCTCACCTGTCCTATTTATGCATGAAGTTAGGAAGAGCCCATTATGTGATGTTGTGCTTTTCATTTCTTCCAATTCATTTGGTCCAAGGCGATCAATCTTATTCCCAATTGTGATCATACCATCAAGTTTCTTTCTTTCAGCTGAAAGGCTCTTTGTCAGTGTGTCCAGTACCGTTCTTTCTTGATTTTTGGCATCTGGGTGGCTCATGTCACGCACATGCACTATCACATCCTGGTGATGGGAAAAACTATCATGGTGTCACCAAATTAAACCTACTCTAATCATGGTATAAAAGTTCTTTTCCTTATAACCCACAAAAATGAAATTCACAATTAAGACTCATGAAAGATCTGAAAAATGTCTGCTTTCTACATAGCCTATTTTTGCATCAAGAAAGTACTTTCAGTTCAAGTCCAAGGACTTTGGCAGGCAGTGGAATTGGAAAATGGCAATGCAAGTAATGCAAAGGGACTGACAGCCATGAGGGCATCTTCCAATGTGGCAGCAAAGGCTTGGATGAGGGCAAGTGGGATATCAGCAATAAAGCCAACGGTGTCCACAAAGAGGGTTGTGAGGCGAGATGGAAGGAGTCCACTATGCATTGTGACATCCAGTGTGGCAAAGAGGTGATCCCTTGGCTCTAAACTCTTCTCCCCAGTAAGGGCCTTGATCAGGGATGTCTTCCCTGTCACAATCAGAATGGGCCATATCAGAGCTGCAATTATAGCAGGTGGGACTGGAACTTCAAAACTTATGATATTGATAATTCAGGCCTGTATCTGAGGCCCCTTGCATTCAATCTAAGACATTCACATTTCTGGCATAACAGGATGCACTTTTGCATTCAAGTGCAAATTTCCAGGGGCAACTAAATTATGATAGGAAAAATTAAAGTCTTCATGGTATTTGCAAGCAGTGAGTGCAGGCATCCAAGAAAAATGTGGAAAGAAAGTGGAGTACTACAATGGTTTACACAATGCAAATTTCCAGGGGCAACTAAATTATGATAGGAAAAATTAAAGTCTTCATGGTATTTGCAAGCAGTGAGTGCAGGCATCCAAGAAAAATGTGGAAAGAAAGTGGAGTACTACAATGGTTTACACATAGACTTTAAGCACCTTTAAGGAAGAACCAAACTTTTGATCTTCAATGATGGTGCTTGTCATTAAATATGTACCAATTTGGAAGTTAGCTGATAAGTCTGTAAGAACCCAAAAGAGTAATTAACTGATTATTGGGCTATATATTGAGCAAAATGCTCAATATATATCAATAAGCTTCATCTGCAGGAGCATTCAATTTTTAACCCTTATAGTGCCAGAGCAATGCCAGAGCAGAGCCAATTAGAGCAATGCTACAAATTTCATTGAAAAAGGCCAGTGTCGAAGAGTGGACATGTTTCTAGTCTGAGCGCTCAATTGTGTTCCTTCTCAGACTTTGGACATTTTAGTGCCAGCTCTTCAACTCTGGAATTTTGAAGTGATATTTGTAGCATCGCTGTAAGCAACTCTGGCACTATAAGGGTTAAACAATATCCATCCTATTTGAGACATTCAGAATTTACCAGCATTGGTGTAGCCAACAACAGCAACAGTGGGGACCTGCTCCCGGATGCGACTCA